ATTCCTCACAAAACTGAAAGAAATTATATGAGCATAAATTATCCTCAATTCTTGTTTCAAGCTTTTAAATTCTTTATCTCAAATCTCAAAAACTGCAAATTAAGGTTTCGTAAGTAGTATTCTCAGAATAATTAATTCACAATCTGCCGTATACATTTTGATTAACATACTAATTGGTAGCTATGTAAACTGCGAAAAAAAAATGGACAGTACTAGGCCCCGTTCTACTGGGCCGATAGACGAAATTCAACTTGCATTTTTCATGTATCAAAAGCGGGACTTACGATATGTATTAGATTTGTATATAGCATTTTTTTAAATAGATATTTTGACATAAAATCGGACTTTTTCAGAAATAACATATAAAGTTTTTTTTCATATTTCGATTTTACAACTCAAATTACACCTAGATATTAAATTTTGTAATTGTTGGTGAGAAATTTACGGAGAAATTTAAAAATTAATCTCTGCAGTTTTTTTTTTTTTTTTTCATGGCGGAATTCTTAATTTATAGTAACCTACTTATTTTACTTCTATCTTTTATGATTTGTTTTTAAAATTTGTATTTTTAAATATTATTTGTAAATTTTTCGAAAAAAATTTTGAATTATAACCTATAAAATTTTTACCATCATCTTAAAGTAGGTATATTTTTAAGCATATCTGCAAAAAATTAGACTTTTTTATACAAAATTTTCTAAGATATACACAAATGTACATATTTTCGCTTTTTGAAATTTGGCATCCTTTTTTTTTTTTTTTTTTTGAGCGATAATAACGCCAAATGTGGTCTATGGATTTTTGTTACACTGTATTGCCACGGCTATTTTTAACCTTAAATTTCAAGTAAAATTTTACGGAGAATTAATTATATGACATTTTCCCCTCAATGATGCGTAATAAATATTTATTAATACTATAAGAAAAGCTGTTTTTTTAAATAATTTTTTTAATATTTTTTTAATTTCTCTCTATCTTTTTTTTTTTAATAAAAGTAAATTTTTGTAAGAGTAAATTTTTACCTTCGGCGTTTTATCGTCTGCTATTTTACTTCGTTTAAATCGAATTGTCTAAAACTGAGAATTTTCGTTTGATGTTTATTTGAATTTTATGACATTAACTGCACAATTTATTTCTAAACAAACTGATGCTTTTGAAGTGGCCGAAAGAGCGGCTGGTACTATCATCCATATTTTTAAAGCACAGTATATTTTTATAGATACATAAGATTTAGAATAATCATTTTTATAAAAGTCAAATTATAATATAAATATACAATCTCTAGAGACTGAATTAATGGAAGTTCAATGGTTATGTAGAAATGATCCGCAGCTACTTAATCGCTGGATAAGTCAGCAGATTTCGTGGACAAGTAAGAATAATTATATAAACGACACCCAACATTCTGAATCCAATTAACAACGAGGATACGATGTTTATTAAATGAATTCAAGAAGTTTTAAAACATAAAAAATCAACTCATTTTTTATCCTAAAATGTATTTTTGTGCGTAGCGTATTTTCATTATTCTAATTTAAAATTGTAATAATTCTTAAAATTCTAATTTAGAATGTAATTGTCAAAAACTGATTCCTAATCATCAGTAATATAATAAGTAATTATTACGGTTATTAATATATCCTTCTTATAAAGTAATTGCAAATATTTCAAAGAACTTTCTGTCTGAATGCAAATATTTTTCTGTGCAAATATTTTTAATTTTATATTAATCAAGATTGCACACGATATTATTTATTTGCACTTCAATTCTTAACGTCAGTTCTAGTAGAAGTTACAAATCAATTATATTTAATTAAGGATTGGATTGGATTATTTAATTATGGCAAAGCACACGAGGGCTATCTGCCTAAAGGGAGGGATGCCTTCGTGGAGGACTTCTAAGGGAAAATGGCTCGTATACACGTTACACATCGGGAAAACCACGAAAACACCCATGCAACCAGCCCGTTCACGGGATTCGAACCTCGGACCGAACTACCAGTGATCAGCGTCTTTACCGCTCGGCCGTTTGTGGGCCTTTATGAAATGGAAGGCGATAACTTTATTTAAAATGATTGTCAGAAATACCAAAATGTTTCGAAAAGTTGGTTACTTTTTAATATACTTTCAGAATGCTTAAAGAAATGTGTGTGTGATTATGGCAAAGCCTCGAGGGCTATCTGCCTAAGAGGAGGGATGCCTTCGTGGAGGACTTTCTAAGGGAAACTGGCTCGTATACACGTTACACATGGGGAAAACCACGAAAGCGCCCATGCAGCCAGCCCATTCGCGGGATTCGAACCTCGGACCGAAATACCAGTGTTCAGCGATTTTACCGCTCGGCCGCTGGTGGGCCGAATGCTTAAAGAAAAAGAGAAGAAAAATAAATTTTTTTTAAAATTTAGTATTTGTATTTTTTTTAATTTAAATTTAAAACTTTCAATGTTATGATTATGATATTGATTCTTGCGATTTCAAAAATAAAATATTTGACTAAAATATGAATAACATTTTAAGAAACCAAATGTAGGATAAAAATTGTGTAAAGCAATGGGCACAATGATAAAACTGTTTAAAGCAGTGTATGCAAGTCATCCTAAGTTAAAATGTCGGTTATACATCTCTCTTATTTATATATATCTTTTCTAAAAACGGAACATTGAAAGGCGTGTAAAACTGTGCTTTACTGTATTTTCTCTTTTTAATATAGTATGCAGTTTTCAAACTCATCGTAGTCTGGGTTACAAAGTATTCTTCCGAAAAGAAACGCAGTTCAAATAAATAAAATCAAATTCTGGAAAATTGATATTAATAAATATATTTAAAATGCTCAGTTCGAAGGAATAAATAGAAAATTTTAAAACAATTATCTGAAGAGACAATGCAACACAAACAATTAAAATAAAAGTATAAAAATTTAAAAATTACCTAAAATAATAAACTATGACGAAAAAATATATAAAAGAAAAACTATTTGAAAAAAAAAAATAAACGCTGCAACCTTTATTTACGCAGTTCGAATAGGTAAATTGAAATTTTTAAAACAGTTATTCGAAAAAAAAAAAAAAAAAAAAAAAAAAAAAAAACGCGCAACTTAAACAATTAAAATGAAATTCGAAAAAGAAAAAATTACTTATAATAAGTTATAATTAAAAATATAATATAAAGAATATTATTTGGAAGAAAGGAACGATGGTGACTTTTTTTCCTCTCACGGGAAAGGAAACTAGGTTGCCATATATTAAGAAGTTCGCCAAGTGAAGTATTCTTGGCGCAAAACTGACAAAAATGTGCCAACATAAATTTGTGAATTTCTCCGTAAATTTCGCTTCACATTTTACAAAATTTTCATATTTAGGCGTAATTTGAGTCGTAGAATCGAAGGTATGTAAAAAAAATTGGTATGTTATTTCAGAAAAAGTCCCATTTTGTGTCAAAATACCTATGTTAGAATAGTGCTATATATAAATCTAATATATATCCTAAGTTCGCGCTTTCGAGACATGAAAGAAACGCAATTTGAATTTTGTCAATCGGCCCAGTAGATCGGGAGATATAGGACTGTCCCCCCCCTTTTTTTTTTTTTTTTGGAGCATTGTACATACATACGTATGTATCTCGCATAACTGAAAAACGAGTAACCGTAGAACGTTGAAATTTTGTATTTGGAACTGCTATAACATGTAGCTGTGCACTTCCCGTTTTGGTTCCAATCAGCCGCACTAAATATATAGGTATATACACATATTCCGACTCTGTTACCCTGCTCGGTGAAACCTTTTTTTTTTTTTTTTTTTTTTTTAATGCCTTTAGTGCATTAATCTGCATGCAGAACTATAGAATTATCAACACTTTAAAAATGTAAGTTCAGTTAAGCCTAACGTGGAGCGAATTTTTTTTTCCCTACATTTAAAACTCTTAAAAGTATAGAGCAGTTAGAGCACCAACTTCAGTGTCTTTTTGCCCAGTGGTACCAAAAGTTAATTTTGCGCACCGAACATTTTGTCTTCTTGTCCGCTGGCCAAATTGCTTCTTTTTTGCGTGGAAAATCTAAGTTTAATTTTTAAAATTGCTTTTGTAACGGTTTTAAACTGCATTTTACAAATTTTAATGAAGATGTAATCTTGCCTTGCCGCGAAGTGAGAATTGAATTGATTGAATGAGAAATATATGTCTAATGAAATTCGAAGAAATGTGATTAAATGAAGATCAGCAAAAAATGAGTATAATTTAATAGGCGTGCAAAGGTAGTCATGTGCTGTCGACATGAGCTATTTTTTTTTATAATATTGCTGGAAAAACATGTGTGTTATTCTTAAATCATTCAATTCGAGGGATAATTTGAGGATCTTATGCCTGATAACATGTACTTTTGCATGATATGGACTGATGACAATTTTCAGTATTAGCATTTCTCAGAGCACATAGTAAGTAATGCGGTAAAGCAACATAAAGTGACTGGCGATCTTGTAGAATCACGTCATATGACACAAAAAATTGCAAAGACTAGGCTATAAAAAGTTCTAATATCAAAAACGATATAAACTGGAAAGACGCCTTTGATATCGTTTAATGCTTATTAACTATGCATACGATATGCATAAGCAGACGATAGGCTATCTGTCACTGCATAAGGTAGATGGATGGTTTCTTACTTTGCACACTGAGAAGAACCGAAAACTACATGTAGTCAACCCATATAGTTGCCTAGAACGAAAGCAGACCGAATTACTAGTGCTAAAGGATTTAGCCACATGACCTCTGGCCAGCTTGATAGCATTTTGTACGCAGTTTTCATTTCATTGCCCGTGAAATCTAAAAATAGGTCCTTAACGTGTTGTTTCTATAAATTTGAATGAGAATTTATTGCACTCTGTATATATTTTCTATGTCACTTCCTCATTTTATATAATATTTTGGGTGATTTAAAGTATTTTAAAGGCAGGTTTTCTAAAAATATCCTATGAAATTCTTCATTTGCTATTTTCCTCTTTCCTTAGCGAGACGTGAAGAATTCGAGCTGAAAAGAAAAATGAATCGTCATCAAGAAGCCATGAAAGTGCAAATCGCTAAGAAGCTTCTATCCCAAGAGGAAAACATCGAAGAGGAACTAGATATCAACACGGAAGACGAAACCGTTTCCGATGCAAGTGAAGACGTACTTGAGAGCACTCAGGACGACGATAACGACTACTATTACGCTTCCGCAGACGATGTCACAGATGATGCAGAACAGCAGACGAATTCCTCGGTGTGATAGCCAATAAATATGGCATTTTATGCGTGTGGAACTCTGCTACAAATGTTATGTTTTGTTTTGTTAATGTTGCCAGGCTGACAGAAAACTCCCTCGTACATTTTCTTTAAAAGATTTCATGGCTAATACTCTATTCCACGCTTAATATGACTTCCGTAGCTATTATTCGCTTCGTACCTTCTGCTATAAATGTGTATGTGTCTTAAAAGCAAAAGGAGCTTGTGATAAACGTAATAATCATAAAGCATCGAAAATGTTTTTAATTTGCTTTCACATCAAGGCAGTTTTTAAAGCTTAAATCGTGGCATTCATTCACTGCTCAAAATTAAAAAATTGCAAACTGTACACATGTGTTAAAATAACTATTCTAAATGGTGATAAACACTTTATTTCATATGCAAAAACATAAAAAATATTTTACTAGTGTCCATTATAACTAGTTCATATACCCTGAAAAAAAATTTCACAAATTAATTTTTGTATGCAGATATTACAATGAACGATATTTTTATTCAAAATTTCCCATGAAAACATTTTTACTGCAAGACAAATCAATGTGCTGGAATGAGTATTTAAAGAATATATGTCATACATATGTAATTTTAATTAGGCCAAATTTAAATGAAGAATAAACTTGTAATACTAGATCGATATCAATATAAATCTAATTAAAGCATTTCTGTAGTTATATTTATAGAACTAGAAATCACTATTTTTGCATCAGTTTATGAACTTCCTTCTTAATCTACAAACACTTGCACTTTTTTTTTTTTTTTTTCAGAATATAAACTTCCCATTATGCTATGAAAAACAAATATGCAGGGTATTTCATAAAAGAAAGAACCGAAAAATAAATGCATTAATGTTTTCTGCATGTCTTGGCAACAAAGTTTTAGTATACAGCTTATTATCAGACCAAGCAAATTATTTTCAGGACTTCCATGTGAAAGATTTCAAAATTAATAAGTTCGAATGCTGAATAAAAATAAGCTTCTGTGTAGAGATGCCAATGAAATAATGTCTGCATAGCTACTCATACAATAAGTAATGACTGTTAATTGTAATAAACAAATCAATGCTGAAAAATTACACTGTAATGTGTATCTTTAAGTCTGCATAGCTTTCAATTTATGTATAATATTAAGAAATTAACTAAATGCTTCAAAAGATGTTTGCAGTTGATATGGATTAGTAGTTGCAAATGTGTTTCAAAGTGCATGGCAATTTACTCAGATGATGATAAATGAAATTTCTAAATCAGTGACTTTGTCTTTACAAAATGATTGACTTTTACTAAAAGTTCGCATAGTATAAACATAATTGTCGTCAATAATTAAACTAAATGTTCATATAAAATTAGCTCTGAATATTTACCATTAATTATATTGAAAAAAATACAGTTCATTAAATATCAGTTGTTAATGCAATTTAAAACTTTTTTATTTTCAATACATTCATTTATTAAATATCTCAAAATATTGTTATTTTGTAATTAGTTTAAAGATTTCAATAAATTTCAGTAAAATGTTTCAACTGAAGGAAATTAACATAAATCCTTAATTTAGTCCATTTCTTTCAGGGGCAGGCGATTTTTATGATACCAGTTATGAAGTCTTTAATTTTCCAAATCTGTTTCAAAAGGAAAGAAAATCATTGTCTACCTAAATTTTTATAACCTTCCCCCCCTCTTCCGTTTAATGTAAGCAAATTATGAATAGTTCAATGTACAGTCTAAAGCCAGACAGCATTTAATTTAACAACTTACTTCGTATGTAGAACTAAATATACATTGATATCTAATAAAGTACAGAAAAACAGTGGAATAAAAATTTAATAAATATTATAAAAGTTCAAAATAATCAAATATTTTTAAATAACATATTCTAAAATATGTATTTTAATACTAAAGTTAACTTCTATTTTCTAATAATGTATTGTATAAAGTGTCCGAATTTAAAATTTTTTAAAAAATTTTTAATGAACATAGCATTAAACAGTAGCTGTAAGACTTTTTCCACATCAGGAGAGAAAAAAATGCAGAATTAATCCAAAGTAGAACAATAAATATCGCACATATTTCGAATGAACATCTCTTAAGGAAAATGTTTTAAGTTTTAACTCAGTTAGGTTTTATAATTGAAAAATTCTACACAGTTTTCTATTTTAAAAAGTTATTATTTTAACCATTTCTTTTGTATTAAGCACATTATAGAATAATAGCAATGAAACTGCAAGAAAAGCAAAAACTTCTCTCTAAAACAGATATTACAAAAGATTTGTCACAGAAATGTACAGCAACTGATCAGCACTCGCTCATGATTAAATTTCCATCGTCTTTAATGGGAACGAATGTATATTCGTTAATTACGAATATATATTCTTAATAACATTGTATCTGAATCATTATTTGGAATACCCAGTAAACTTAAATTACAAATGCATTGTGTATGTATATTAGAATTCCGTAAAATTTCTAAATAAATCTTTTTATTTAGAAAAGAAATATGATTCAAAGAATTATGAAAATGATAAGTGAAAGAGTAATGAATTATTATACAGATTATCACTTGTATTAAATGAGAACCCATAACAAATTGCAAACTTAAAGAATTTGCACTTCATTAACTTTGTTTCCAAAGTTATAAAGGAAACAGTTGAAAACTCCAAGACTTTTGATTTATATATACAAAGAAATTATTTTTCCAGAAAAAAAGAAGTCTGAAAAACTTAATCATTATATTTCAGTGTGAACTTAATGTGAAACAGTAAATCAAGAATTTGTCTTCCACTATTCTTGCATTTGAATATTAATATTTAAAAATTATGCTTTAAAATGCTTATTTTATTATGTGAAATATTTTATAGTACAACTCATAATTTACAAAATTTTAATATAATTTCGTTAATAAAATATGAAACATGTATGAAGAAAAAACTGAATATTCAACTGTAAGCACAAAACTGTATAAAAAATTTTAAAGATTTTATTGCTGCTATAAAAGAATTAATTTCTTTATTTAAAATAACTGTATGCATTATTTTTTTTAACTATACTATTTTGAATATGCAAAGGCATTCCTGCACTTAACATTACATTCCTAAATATGAAAAATACAATTTTCACTAACTATACCTTGTTTACAGCAGATGTTTAAATTTTATGCTTTTGTGTGTAGTATTATTCTCCTTGTGTTATGCAATTATGTTTACAAAAATAATATTTTACAGATATATACATTCGGAGCTAATTAATGTCACCACCAGCTTCCATTATAAAAAATGTTTTAACAGCTAAAAGATAGTTTTGTAGTATGGCAGTACATGAAAATGATTAATTTTTTATTATTAAAATAATTTTCTTTGTTTTTTGGTAAATTTAGCAGTAACAGAGCTACAATATGTTATGTCAATGCCTATTTTTGAAACCTTAAAATGTAATTTGCCTAAGATATAATCGTGCATCAGCTTTTGAAATCATTGTAAAGTTTTCTATACTGATTTTAATGTGCAAAATTTACTTCATATCAAAACCATCATATTGTTATATTCAGCTGTATCTTTATACAAATATACCATACTGTATAGAGAAATAAGTTATATATTATTGATATTGTTTCTTGTAATACTGTATTATTTGATTTAAATATTTAGGTAAGTGTTTAGATTTTAGAAACAGAAAATAAATTTTAAACAAAATATGTGTTTCGTTTACAGCTTAAATGAACAACACAGCAATCATGAAAAATACTTAAAAAATACTTAAAAAATAATACTTAAAAAAATCAAAATGAAATTTTAGAAATTTTTTTATTTTTGGCTCTTTTATACACAATAATTTATACATTTAAAAATATTTCAACAAACATACTGACACATATTAGACAAGCTGCATAAAATTTTTGACATGTGAACAACTTTTAATATGATTTGCTTTAATATCCAAATATACAGAAATATCTTTTATGCTCTTACAAAGACCTACATTTAAGGTTAAAATTGACTGTCAGAAAATCCATATTGTCTTAGATGTTTGCTAGCTTTTTATCAATTACTACATACAATTATATCAACAAAGAAAAAGGAAAACATATTTTATGAGATGACAAAAATCTCAGCAAAATGAAAAAACTTAAAAAGTCAGATATCTAAGTCAAATATAAAAAATTTTACTAACAAATAAAAAGATCAGAAGGATGATGAAGTGGGGAATAAAACAAGATTCTATTACCAAACACAAATGTATTAAAAGTAAAACATACTTCCTTGCAAAAAACAAGATGCTGTATTTAATATCAGTGTTTTGACTAAAATGCAAATTAGTATTAGCATCCAACACACAAAATAGTTTTATTTTTGATAAATCAGATAAAACACCGAAAACCGATATCCTAATTCAACATTAAAACTGAATTAATGCTTTAACATGATAAATCATTCTGTGAAAAACCTTCAAACTAAAAATTTTTCACAATGCAAACTTTTCTAATAAAAGTTAATTATGGCAGTATGCAGTGAAATAAATAACCGACATATATAACGAAGCAGACATAATAATAATAATTTTAACATAAGCTACTGATATTAGAAAGTATACAGTTACTCCGGTTTTTTGTCACCAATATTAGGACATTTCCACAGCATTTATCATTCATATTCACTAGTTCTTTCCCTGTATAGGCAAATTAATTTGTAAACAAATTAATATATAAATAAAATAAATTGATCATATTGTACCTTCAGTATAAGGAATACAAAATGTTCTAAAAAACTGGCACCTTCACCTTAAAGGGCCTAAAACCACTTGAAATGCAAATTCTCAAATGAAAAACTTCACTTAAGCCATTGAAATTAAAATGCATTTTGTCATACACTATGAAAAAAACTAATCATAATAGATTCCATTACTTAGATTTTTATTATTTGAGATTTTAAAGTTCAGAAGTTACATTATAAAAAAAATTACTTGCATATAAAGATTTGTTGTCTCTAAATCTATGCTAAATAAAAGTTAATATAATGCACATAACCTGAAACACTAATAAATATTTATGTATGTTATTTTATGATTTTATTTTCAGTAGCTTTATTACAATTAGTAAAATCAAATGCTCTTGAATTTTTTTAACTTTAGAAATTTATGCATAAAAAATTTTAACTATAGTGAACATGCAAACATTTTATCATAATGGGTCAGTTCAAATGTAAGCTACAAATAAAAATTGCTACTTCTTAAATATTTACACAATTTCTTTAGCTCAAAAGCAGATGCTGGTGTGTACAGTTTAAAATAGAAGAAAACATCAAAATAAAAATGGTGGCTTTGTAAAACTCTACTTAAAATTTGGGACTAATAGTCAATGAGAACTCAGCCAAAATTAACATATTTTCAGTTTAATATTAATATCAGGCATGTATGCTAGTTTCAATGACATAAAAAGTGTTCACACATAAAACATCAGCAGAGACATTTGCATTGCATAATTTATATGAATAATTAAGTGAACAGAAAAATCATATTACTGAACAATTCTAAGAATGAAATAGACAGCTAGATAAAACATTTTATATTAAAAAAAAAAAAATAAAAAAAAATATTATGTATGGTCCTAGATGAAAAAAAAAAAAAAAAAAAAAAAAAATGGTGTAGTAGGATCAACATCCATTCTTACCAACTAAGGCATTAAATTTTTATATCATGAAACAATTAAGATCATATTTAGCAAAATAACTTGAGCCCATTTTGCATTATAAATATTATAACCATTATTCTTGCACTACAAACAGATTTAATATTGGATTTCCTGATCACTGTATAACATTATAATGTCTGAAAAATTAGGAAAAATGAATTGTTTCCATGTAGCCGGATTAAATATTTTTTGCCATTTAACACAGCAAAATAAAATATATATTAATTGTTACTATGAAGAATATTTAATTTCTTTTGACTGATGAAACTATTAATCAAGGAAATTAATTGATTTGACATCATTATACAAAAATAAGGAAATGGCTAGGAATAAGTAATAAAATTTCTTTACTATCTTTTATGTTAATCTTCATAAAAAGAAAAAAAAATATGACTTATACATTTTTTTCAATACTATGCTCATCTAACTTAAATTTTAAATTTTAAAAACATAATGGTTTGATTATTACATAAACTCCCATTAAGAATATGTAATAATTACATGCTTGAACTCACTTCTGAGAATTTCATTGTAAAATCAAACAATACTGTAATATACACAGAAAAATCCAAACAGCTGTAAGCATAAGCTTAAAAGATATTTTTATTTATTAATAAGAATTAGAAACAATGGTATTCATGATCAATACATAATTTTAATTAATGCTAATATTAATTGCACATTACATAGAGGTGTGACTAATGTGAATTTTTATAGACATTTTACTGTTAGCTGTTTAAATTATTAAGTATAAATTTCATAATTATGCATGTTTATATATTGAATATTTTGAAAAAAAAGATTAAAGTACCAATTAAGTTCTATAATTAATTTAAACAATTCATAACGTATACAATGAGTAACCACTGTTTAGAAACAATAAAATATATTCTTATACTTCCAATTAATTATATTTATTTTCAAAATAGAAAAATATTTTCAGAATATAAATAATTTTTAGCAATCAAAAAATGTTGCTTACCATAATCAACTTATAAACCAACACTTCAAAAGGCTTCAGAGCAAAACAATTAATAAGATTCAAATATTTTAGTACAAGCAAGAAATGATTTGAAATAAAACATTAAAAAAAAAAAAAAAAAAAATTAACAATACTAGACTTTAGTTATAAGCAACAGTATTTCATAATTTATCATATATAGTTCAATAATTTATTAACAAACGTTACGTCTTGCAAAAACGCAAAAATAAAACAATGTTATTGCTCAACATACATTATTTCATTTTGAACACCATTTTCTAAAGATAGCAATGCAGCAGCTTTCTTTTTCAAACGATAAGCTTTTAACCTCTCTCTCTCAATTTCTAAAAACTCACTCCTTTTCTCAGGGGACATGTTAAGTCTATATTTTCTCCTCTTTTCTTTCAACTGCATACGCTCTTTTAAAATTTTTTGAAAACGTTCCTCTTCCGATAAGACTTGTGGGCACTTTCTCCATGAAACATATGGAACTCTAGGTTCTACACTGATGTTCTCAGTAAACTGTGCACCATTCCAATACCACAAAATATCACTCTGTGTGGAACAAGCTCCAGATAATGTTTTAGAAAATGCAGTCTCAGATACCTCACATAATTCTTTCATTTTATCTGCGTTAGATATGTTACTGTCACTTGTGCTCAAAGAATTTTTAGAAATATCGAAGCTGTCTTCCTAAGGTGATAGAAACAAAATAAAACTTATTTTTAAATACCAACATTAAGGCAAAAATACACAATAATAACAAATTTAAAGAGAATACATATATACACACATACATACTCTTTGACATTTTCATTCCTGTCGTAAGGGAAGACATTTTCACTGACAGCTGCACATCGCAGAAAATTTAAATACAGAATGTGGGTTACGTCAAGACACTCTGTATAAAAGGCATCTATAAAAAGGGGGCACTCAAGTTGTTTCCTTGCTTATGATTGCAAGCAGTAATGTTTATAAGAAAAATCATGTTGTCAATTTCTGAAAAATATTACTATAAATTTTTATTTTTAATGGTAAATACTGATTGCAGAATGTCTATAAGATATCTTTTGACAGTATTACAATTGTGGTCGTGCAGTTGGACATCTCAAGGTATGGCAAAATGCCACTCAAGTTGTTGCAGTAATATACATTTTGAAAAGAATTATTTTATGGTTAAAGAAGGCTGCTGAAGCTGGAAGTGCTGTGCAAAAGTATCCTGGAGGTTGTAGAAGGTTCCATACCTCAATGGAATAGCTATGTCACCCTAACAGAAATCCTAGATCTTGCTAGTGCTATCAAAACTAGCTTATCTGCAAGAACCATTTCTTGGTAATTGAATTGACTTAAATGCATGAAAGCTTGTCCCATGCATTCTGCTACAAGGAGATCATCTTTGGGAATGATCATAATGGTGTAAGGAGCATACTGATTGAGATCAGCAAACTATGTTCTCTAATCAATCCCACTTCACTTTGAACAGTGATTCTGGACACCAGTTAGTGTAGAGAGTGAAGGACACTCACTACCATTATCAGAATATCCAAGAAACTAACTACTACAGCCGATGAATAATTGTGAGGATGGGCATCGTTCCTAATGGCAGAACTCCTCTCCATATCTTTAAGAAAGGTACAATGGCAGTAGTACTGTAACAAAATTTTCCAGGGTCAAATCAATCTTTTCCATAGTGCAGTTCACTGCAGATTTTTGTTTCATGGATGACAATGTCCATCTACATAGGAAACTGAAGAGACCAATGCACTAGCAAGGAAAGATACTGAGTACATGACATACCTGCATATTCTCCAAGCCTAAATCCCATATATCATACCTAGGATGCACAAGATAAAACCCTCCTTGAACTCTGCAGTAATGCCACATCATCATGAGAGATGAATGATACATTATCTCCAAAGCTCTTCTCAGCGTCCAGGATGTTATGCTGTATACTTATAGATATCAGTCATTGCTTATTTCAAGTGGAACAAGAATATTTTGTAGTTGTTAAACTAGCTGTGAGGAATATCTCTTTTCTTCCGTTTATTTCGCCATATGGCAATATCTGCACCATTTTGCACAGAAAAAAATACTTCAGTACTATTTCACATAGCAATTTCTAATAAATATGTTCCAGGTCTCATTTTTTTAAACAATGTCTATCATTCATTATGAAGAAAAATGGCTCTATTCCTTTGCAGCTGTTGAGCAGCAGTGGAAGTAGCGAACTCTTTTCACAAAAATGTTTTAAAACATGGAAAATTGTATGTAACATTTTTTTTAACATTCCTCCCCAAAAAATTATTATTAAAGTAATTTATATGTTCTCAAGCAAAAGTCAAAATCAGACAATTAGCAGACAATTTGGAAAACTCTCAGCAAAAAAAAAAAAAAAAAAAAAAAAAAGACTTCCAAAACGATTTCCATACTGATCACAGGCTCTGGCATGCTTATGATTAATAATTCTAAATAAAAAGTTTTGAAATTCAAATTTACGGTTTACTAATGAAAATTTTTGTTCTAAAAACCTTTTCTTAACACCAGAAAAATATTCATAAGTTGTCCCCCCCCCCCAAGAATCTAACCTTATTTGCTTTTGATGTTCCTTGCTCAATGCATAGTATAGAAACATACGAAAGTGTATTTAAATAACCACTGCAATCTAATATTCTGTGGACAAATTCTTGATACATGACACAATTTTCAAATTAATTAAGTACATAAATTCAAAATTGAATTTACAGAGGGCAAAGCATGCACTGAAAAATATGAATTCATCCATAGTAAAACATTTGCTAAGATTCCTGATCTATATTTATTTCAAAAAGAGAATGCCACCTATACTGTTTAGTGATGCTATTGTCATATTGTTAGGACCAGTTAAAACAAATTCCTGAGAAGGTTCAAATATTTGTAAGTGCACATTATATGGGAGGGGCTTAAAATAAACTGTACACCAAAAGTCCTCTCAAGATGTTTGGCATCAGGGAAGACAAGTGGAGAAATCTCTTTCGGAATTGGGACCTAGTCAGACTCTCACTCCTAAGGTGCCCATAAATCACCTGAAAGGTGTTAGCCTCCTCAACACTATAAAATTTGTGGACTTTAATAAAATAGATTTGCTTCTTCAATCAAAATATGCTACAAATCTAGCATATTTTTATTAAAAAGTTTATTTTTGTATATATATGTATAAAAAAATTCCTTTAAATTTGTCGTGCTGAATGTTTTTAAATCCAAATTTTGTTTGTTTACACTCAAAAGCAGATTACAGGCATTTCCTGATCATCAAAATTGTAATTTACGATAACAAAGACCCATCAAGGCCAATCCAAAAGTTCAATGTACTCAACACAGCACCTAATGCAAATAAAATATATTTAAAAACACTGATGTTTTCAAAAAATATATGGTATTTATCGTGATTTATTTAGAAAGTCTGATTTATTTTCAAACTCACCACATACAGTATTACCACCAAAATTATCTCAAATTCTATATACTGATAAAATTAGAATGTTAGATGTATATAAAACATGATACTCTTATTTTGGACATATTTAGAACGCTGCAATGAATTAATTATAGTGCCTTCATTCATAAAATATAATAATAATGCAATTCGTGTAAAATAATATTTTTTGTTTTCTGGTACATTTCAAGAATATTAGGATAATTAAAAGATTGCACCCTGTTTTACCCTAAAAAATACAGAAAAGTTACTACTGCAGTTTACTAATAGTGCCGTATACAGTCAAAAGTCGTTAATTCGGACACCCATAATCCGGACCTCAAAGCTGAAAACTTTCTGCGCATGCGCCGCATTGACACATGCGGATTACACGGCGTAGACCTCTCGACTGCACATATGCGTGTGCGCAGTGCAGAACTTTTCGCGTGCGCGTTTAATGTATAACGGACGGTATACGCTAAAATTATCTAATTATCTATTTCAGTTTAATGTTGATGATTGTGTTTGTTCCTTAATCTTCGAATTCGATGCGGCTATTTCAGTTAATGTTGATGATTGCGTTGTTCCTTAATCTTCGAATGAGCGCTATTATTTTTTTGCAGACTGTAAAGCAATTTTAAAAAAATAAACTTGAACTTTCGATTATGTCAAATAGAATTTCCGATGCTGGAGCTCCCAAAGGATCTACAAAACGAAATTCTGTTTCATGTCCGTCAAACAAAAAGTGGAATTGCGCAAAAAATGGATAAACCATGAGAAGGTGACAGAGAGGTTAGTGAAAACGAAAAAATTCGATTGACAAGTTGTAGGTATTCTCGGCACAGCAATTACGGACTTGACAGCGGAACTTGTACTGACAAGAATTATGTCTGTTTCTAGACTTAACGAGAAAGTATTATCACATAAAACGAAGCAACTTAAACAACTTAACATGAAAAAATGTTAATAAAGTAACAAATAAATATAGCTTTTTTTTTTTTTTTTTTTGTAAATTTTGATACCCTTAGATCAATTGTTCTTATTTCATAAATTACGGTTTCATATTTTTAATTTTAGATTTCTGCATGCCATCTTACGAGATTTAAACTGATGATCTATAATCTGGAAAAATCGATAATCCGGAATCGCCGAAGTCCCGACGAGTCCGGATTAACGACTTTTGACTGTATTTAGAAATCCTTCCCAAGTCCTGCTGGTTGCCTCATCAGGATAGAAAAGTGCCCCTGCATGGAGTGAGTGAAATACGTCCACAGTTTACTCGTGGTAGGGTCATCCAAGGCAAGAAAGCCATTCCTTTTGGCCAGTTAAAATCAGCAAGTGAAAAAGCTAAGACTTCTATCATTTGGGTGCTCAAGTCCCTGGACTAATAGAAGTTGCACATTCCCTCTGCCCAGTGGAGTAGCTAGGGTGGGGCAAGGGGGGACATCTGTCCCCGGGCGCAGCATCCAAGAGGCGGCAAATTCATGCTACGAAATTTTTTAATGAAATGTTTTATATTCTTGGCACACAGAAAGGGGCGCAAATTCTTCAATTGTCCCTGGGCGCTGGAAACTCTAGCTACGCCCCTGCCTCTGCCTCATGAATTCATTGACTCAAGATTTTAATGCTGCATTATCCGTCAGGCAGATTAATCAGGGATGTGTTTTCAGTTTAGACAGAGGACGTTGTTCAAAAAATAAGTTACAGTCTCCACATAATACTTCAAAGATCCTGAAAATTCTACAATACAACATTAATGGATTGACTATTAAGGCAACCAGAGTTCAATTCAAGGAACTCTTAGAAATTTATGTGGAAATCAATAGCAATTAAGTGACTGCTGGCCAGGAAACAAATGGGACGTCAAATATCAAAGACTGACATATTGGCAGATCAAATTTCAGATCTCAAAATCCAAGGCATCAAGATTTTTTGGAAAGAAAAACCCTTTTTATATTATGCATGTTTATCATTCTCCCAATTCAAAATAGCTACCTTCAAATTTTTCTAATCTTATGAATAAAAATAGAATTATTCTGGGAGATTTGAATGCTAAACATGCCATCTAAGGTTGTTCTGGCAATAATGAATGAGGAGAGGTCATTCTGCAAATGATGAATGGCAAAGGCTTTATAATTTTTTGACAATGGTATTCATACTCACACTTCCTTTAACTATAATACAGGCATGGCCAAACTGCAGCTCTCCAATACCTTAACTCCAGTTCACGACCTTGCAGCTCTTTGGTCCCTTAAATTCAATTTGCTCTCAACAAACAGTAGCTTAATTTTTGACATATAATTGCATTTTGAAATAGAAATGATGCAATGATGTGTTTCTTTATTAATTAATAATTTAATTTCTTAAATTATATTATGTAGGAAACAATCGCTTTCAAGCTGTCCATCACAACTGCAAATAGCTCCATTTCTGCCAATTATTCTTACAGCTATGTTACTTTTAGAGCAGATAAGGACCACTAAGATACCACAAAATATGAGGCAATTTAAAGTAATGCTCTCTATTTCTCCCCTTCAAATTAATTTTATTTTAGGCACTTCCTCTTTATATTCCTTCTGTGATAACCCCTTGTCGCACAATAACAGTTCTGATCCATTATCTTGGAAGATTTACTATTCCCAGGATATTAATTTTATTCAGTCTCTGAATAGCTTGGGTTGTAAAGTGATTAAGAATTTTTGAGGTAGTAAACATGAAAAATGAGCAATGCCCTTGCTGGGACTCAAACCTGGACCTCTTAAGTACACACCGAGTGTGCTAACCCTTACACCACGAAGGCATACAGAAAGGAGGGAGTGAATACCCTAGGGTACTACTGAAAAAAAAATCTTATTCGCATGGGGGCTCTTTTAACAGAAAAAATATGAAATATAGTTAGTCCTTTTACAGGTGTCCTTTGAAGTTTAATACCCCATCGTTAAGTATGTTAAGGCCATTTTTATGTAATTTTCTTCACATTCTTTACAACCACTAATACTAAAATGCCACATTTACACTTTCTATACGTGAAACAAATTTTTTTTCATGTTTCATATCTTTCGCAACAATGCCTTGATAATCCTAAGCAAAGATCATCATTTATGTAACCAATCTTCAGCATGCTGAAATTCTGGGGGTTAGGAAGAGAATGGAATCCAATGAATGAGGAGAGGTCATTCTGCAAATGATGAATGACAAATTACTCTGAATTGAATACAAATTATTGAAATATTGTAATTCTGCAATAAAAATTGCAGAATTACAATGATTTCAATTCCAGTCAAAATTTTAAACTCAGGTTTTTGTCAACTGCCATTTTTCACAACATAAATCTTTCATCTTTATCTTAAAATCTCTGTTTCATTGTATCAAACAATGAATGTCCAACTGCACACAAATTTCTTTTTCCTAATTCAAAGCTTCTGCAAAAATATTGACGGTAGTGAAATCAGTTTTTTTCTTACATGTTGCTTGATAATTCTTTTTAGCACTTCACAAATATTGCATTAGGTTAGAGCTGGTATTAGGCTCTCTGCTGACCAATGCTTCTAAAATGTTTCGCCTCTTTATTCTGCTGTCCAGGGTAGCTGAACCGGTTAGGGTTCTGATGCCTGGTTTTTGATCCTCTTAATTATTGATCATCTTGTATGCGTCATAGTTTAGCAGCTTCTTTGAAAAATTAAGCTTCAGCGAAACTATTAAGAACATCCCTTTCAAGTTTAAACAAGTAAAAGAGGGTTAAATATTTTTGCTAGAATTTGTTGATAATAATTTCAGTTTATAGGATCACAAAGCAAAATTACTTTATCACACGGAAAAACATTTAAAAGAAAGAAAATTTTTATGCATATAAATCATACAAAAAATTAAGAACTAGTGTATTTTTCTCCCCCTCTCCCTCCTGACACAAGTATGTTACTTATGCAATTTAATTTGTAAAATTATAAGTATTCTTCTTCTAGCAATATAGTTTAATGCTAGAATAGTACTACAGTCAAAAGTCATTAATTCGGACACCCATAATCCGGAATGATCTATAATCCGGACCTCAAAGCTACAAACTTTCTGCGCATGCATCGCGTTGACGCATGCGCGTAAGACCTTTACGGCTGCGAATATGCGTGTGTGAAAAATACGTTTATGAATGCGCATTTAATGTATAACGGACGGTATAAGCTAAGCTAAAATTATCTAATTCAGTTAATGTTGCAGATTGCGTTGTTCCTTAATCTTCAAATTGGATTCGGCTTATTATTTTTTGCAGACTGTTAGAGCAATTTTATAAAAGTAAGCTTGAACTTTCGATTATGTCAAATAGAATTTCTGATATATATTTACTAATATGTAAAGGATCTACAAAGCGAAAGTATGTTTCGAAGTCCATGAAACAAAAATTGGAATTGCTGCAAAAAATGGATAAAGGCATATCCTTTGTTTATCTAAACTTTAACGTTTGTTTATCTAATTTTTGTTTATCTTTAACACCGCGGCGGGCGCGCAATGAATTGGAAGTTGATTTGTCAGCACTATCCTTATCTTCAGGGCAGATGTTTTTATTTTATTTGGCTTATAATTCCTTACTAAATGTAGTATTTCATCTCGATGTACTACGTCTTTGATATGATTTAAATCAAATTATAATTCGGAAGCGAATTATAATTTAAATTATAATTCGCTTCCGATAGCGAAGAAAATGACAGAGGTTATTGAAAACGAAAAAATTTCGATTGACAAATTAGTTGGTATTCTCGAGACAGCAATTATAGGATTTGAACAGAGGAACTTTGTAACTGAACAAGAAATTATGTCTGTTTATAGAATTAAAGAGAATGTATTATCACATAAAAAACGAAGCAACTTAAACACCTTAGATTGAAAGAAATGTTTAATAAAGTAAACAAATAAATATTAAGCTTTTGTTTTTTGTAAATTTTGATACCCTTTAGATCATAATTGTTCTTTATTTCATAAATTATGGTTTCATATTTTTAATTTTATAATTTCTGCATGCCATCTTGCAGATTTAAACTGATGATCTATAATCGTAAAAATCAATAATCCGGAATCGCCGAAGCCCCGACGAGTCCGGATTAACGACTTTTGACTGCATAAATATTTTTACACAACCAAGGAAAGTTATCATGTGAAGGAAATGTAAGTTTAATAATACTATTTTTACACTGCTACAGAAAGTCATGATTACAAAAATTAAGATAAAAAATAAAAATTTCATAAAATACTTATTAACACTCATAGATATGGTTAAGAGTTTCAACACTTTTCATACTAAAAATTTTGCTCCTTGCCCTATCCCCTCAAATGAAAATGAGTTCAAATATTTACTTAAACAAAATAAATCAACTTTAGAAATGCACATTTACATATAAAAAATAGGTACATGTTAATTCTGCAAATTTAATGGAGTTCATTTTTTCACAGTATTTTACATGCTCAATGCCATCTTTAACAAAATTCAAAACTTTGTTTTGATAATCCATTATTTGCATTACTTTCATCTTACATGACACAGCAACTGCTGAACTTACTGAGCAATCATTATCACAGACTTGAGAAGGCTCACTTTTGGTAGATGGAGTAGGTGCAGTTTTTGACATTGCAACATGATCAGAGGTCACAGTTTTAGTAAAATGAGAATTCCTCCTATCCGTTTCCATATAATAAACATGATCCATTTGCAGGTTCTGTAGATATGTTAATTTCTGCTCCATCTCATTGGGATGCAGGCTAAAACTTAATATTTTAAGATTATCTAAACAAGATCAGTAATAGTTATGCAGAATTACAAAGTATGGTATATTGAAGTTAAAAACAGAATTATAAACTTTGTAAACAAACATATTTTATTGATTTGTAAGTGCATATTGTAGAAAGGAAAATAAATACACAATCATAATTAATTGTCCTCATTTTGTCTAGGAAGCATAATTCTTTCCAAAAAAGCAAAGCAAAATACTAGTGTATAATATAAATTTTAAAAAGCAGAACTAAAATATTATCAATACTTCCCATTCATAATACTGATACTTTTAAATGGAGTCACAGTATTTCATAACATTGATACTTTTAAATAAAAGCCATATCTTTTTCACATTTTTACACTGTGTAAACTTCATTTATTTATTTGGACTCTATATCAAAAATGATTATAATTATTTCACAATCATTTAGCTTTGTTACCCATGTTACTCTTGATATTTATTTTTAGAAAATAAAATAATTAGCCTGCATATTAAATAATTTGGTTTAAATATACACAGGTAACTTTAAACATACCTATTATGGGTACACAGCATTATTCCACATACATCTGTGAAATATACTTTTAATTTAGTGAAAATATCTCTACATGATTACTCATCAAAACACACAGATAAATGTCTGGCATGCTTTAATACAGTCAATTTCTATTTAGCTCCTCTTTACTCTAATTATATATTGTTTTCATGTTTCTACCCACAATGCCTCTTATCTGATTACTTCATCACCAAAAGGGACAAATAGTAACAAAATTCTAAATGTGTTATCTCTGGCAGGCAAACCATATGTACCGTTTTGAATCTGACATTACCATTTTTGTGACATTTGCTGGTCGCAGTCATGTTAATAAGAATGACAGTTTCATCCCATTTAAAATTAAAAGCTATTAACATACTTTTACTGGGTAATCATAAGTTATTTTTCTTTCATAATCTCTAATTCAATATCAAATTCATGAGTGAAAGAACAAATATGGAACTGAATTATTTGATTAGTACTGATATCTGCAGTATTCGAAGAATTATAAAAATTCCAAAGCAGCTGAATGCATGGAATGAACATAACATTTCTCTGTCAGATTTATGAGTACATCTCCCCCATATACACACTTAAAATTATCATATGAAGCCCAGATCTTCCAACATTTTTAAAATTATTGTACAGTTTATTCTTTCCAGAAAGACAGCACACACTAAAAGAAATTTTTTGTTACAAGAAGCATGTGAGAATGGGAAAATGAAATGTATAATAGTGTGCAACAAGTAAAAAAAACTGAGACAATGAAAACTATCATAAATTGTTATGCAAAACTGTCGAAGCATGCGAGATGTTTTAATGATGTATAGAGGGATCAAAATGATACACAAGTTCATCACAGACAGTCATGGACAAATATATTCACCTTTACATATGCTTACTTACGTGAGTTCTGTAATTAAAGAATAATCGCAAGCTCAACATTTTTAAATCATAAAATGTTTTTTGTGATGATAATCATTTCCTATTTGTGCTATCCAAGTGTCTCATTTTCATCTCCCAGAAAACAGTCAGCCTATACCAGGACATGAAAATTATCTACATAAAAGAAAGGTGATTATACTAAATTTATATTGTAACTTCTCATTGTTTCACACATGTACATTCAAAGATTCTTATTCCTTTTTTCAAATTTTGTATTCAATTGACAATTTAAGCTTTATATTTATTTATGTGAAGTGTTAATATATGGCTTGGCCACTTGGAGAGATTATGGATTGAAATGCATGAATATAGCAACCAGCAGAATGACTTTGAGAACACTTTTTTTAAACCTCTTTCATCTCAAAATTATAAAGTATGATTAAAAAAATGAGATTACTGTTTAAAGAAGAAAAAATTATTTGTTAGAAACTGAAAGATCAAAAGTCACGTGTAAAAATAGTCATAATGGCCAATAAAATCTCAGCCCATTTTATATAAACATTATTCCCTTAAGCATTTTAATAAGTAGTTATAATATTCAGAATTTATTGCAATATCCTTAGGTATAAAGTTAATTTGCAAAATTCCAATATAATATCCATAGCTAATAGTGTTCTTTTCTCTCAAAGATGAAAACACAACATTGGAATTTTTCAATTTTGAACATTTAATAAACAAATTAAACCCTGTATCAATATTTTTCAATTTTATTGACATCAACACTTAACAGAACAGGATATGCAAAACAGTATACACATTTTATGAAATTTAAAACAAAATTAGTCACTTAACAGTTTGCTGCATATACCTATTAACCTCTTCCACCTGATCATTAATTACACTTTTTGTCATTAATAAAGATATGCTTATTAATTTAGTTTAATGCTCTACTGTTGAGGAAACTGTAGAATTGCAATACTCAGTGCTGGATGATGATGCTTAATGAATGCATTAATGTCAAAACATGCAGTCAATATCATCTTTATGTTGAATCTCAATTGGCATAGCTTTTCTATAGGAAAATTGGGTGATTTTCATTGAGAATTTGAGTCTCGGAATCATAACCACAAGTCTTCCAAATGTTATGAAATTTCTTTAAAAAACTGAAAGTTACTTATAAGACTAGCTTTAAAGTGTCATAATTCTGTAATTTCAATAGCATTCACAACAATACTGCTTTGTTTTACAATCAAAACACATGGAACAAAATACCTTACAGTGTCTAGTTCAAATGTTTTAATGATACCATAAGACATGTTTAGATCCTCAGGAATTTTATGTCTTTGCAGTTCAAAGCAAAATTTCATGTTAATGTACTGTTTCTGATCCATGATTTAAGACAAATTTTTAAAAACACTACTTTTCTCAACTATAGCTCACAAACAATGCCTACACTGAATAGGCTGAAACCTAATGCACATTATTATTAAGGTTTGACAGTTTTATTACACTCTGGCATTATGATAATTAATTAGCTTATTACTTTATCATGATATTTAATTTTTAACACAAAAATAAAGAATGTAAACCAATTTTATATTCAACTTATCTTCACACAATTAATTTGGTTTTCATAAAATCAATACTGCCTACGAAACATATTCATGCAAACATCTGACATCTTACCAACATTAGGTTAAAAGTTTAACAAACCTTATTATATTTTTGAATCAGTAATTCTCATTTAGATTCCTAAATTGTAACTCGTTTCAAAAGTATTCTAGAATCACTGAATGAAAAAAAAAAAAAAAATTATGCTGTCAGAGAACTATACCAAAAAATTTAAAATTTTCATAAAGATTAATTAAAATATTTTTAATACCTCTATTACATTTCCTGAAATCCATCCACCATGCCCCTATTAGAACATTCATAAGCAGATAAATTTAAAAAAAAAAAGAAAAAGAAAAATCCATGTTTAGTTTTCTTGAGAGCTCTATTAAGCTTATAATGGTAACATATATTCCGAATATAACACGCACAATCTTTTTTTGGGGGAAAGGGGGGCAGAGATGTTTTTCCAAAAACTAAATATCAAAACTACTACTGTACTGATTTTACATAACACGTACATTGCATTAGTTATTATAAAGTCACTTTATAATTAAGCATATACAAAAGGTTAAGAATATGTTGCATGTAAAGTAAATCAACAGTTTTCTTTAAAAATCTTGAATGTACAAGGCTTATAAATAACATCTGGGATTGGATACAACAACATAACACAGAATTACTGTGTCACTGCTGAATTATTTCTCAACATATTCAGCACATTACTAAAAAGCATTAGCAACTGCATATAATGCTTGCCACTGATTATATTATAAAAATATTAAAATTTGAACCGGAAGATAGAAGAAACGATCAAAATATGCTGTTTAAAAAATGCTTACAGTTTCAAAATTTTCAACATCTTGCATTTAAAATCTCAATTTCAGCTTTATAAACTGAATTACAATTCACTTAGAAGATGAATAAATAGACTTAGAATAGATATTATAAAGCCTACTGTCAGGAAATAACCCTATCCCTTGATTTCATAATATGAAATCTTTCTATATATAATGTAGATGGCAAATGTTTAAGCATTTGCTATCAATGTACAAACACAGCCCACTATGATTCTTATGTAAATCAGCTATTCCAAACATAACAGTCTAATATTAAAATCAAATCAATAATGTATTTGAGTTGATATCTCTTTTTATCTCTTGCCAACCTACCTACATAGGTAAGTGAGGTAATGTTTTCAGTCCAAAAATTCGATAGAGTTTTCAGTAAATAAATATGAATTAGGGTCCCCATAACACATCTTTACTATTTTTAAACTGATGTTGGTCTGCCTGCATGTGATGATTTTTTGTCCACAATAACTTTTATATGAAACTTCCAAAATTTTTCATTTTCCGCATTTAAGCTCTCTGCATCCACATAAATAGTTGATTAAACGAGGTGTGACAAAAAAAAAAAAAAAAAAAAAAAAAAAAAAAAAAAAAAAACCGAGATTAAGTGAGTAGATTGAAAAAAATTGGACAATTTTTGGACGACATCATCCCACACACCTCCTCTATCCAGTGGCCAGTTTCAACTTAACTGATCACACCAGTTGGGAGTACTGCATCAATAACTTGTGCAACTGCACTCGAAATCAGCCATGGAAACGTTTCAAATGATAACTGAGGCTTATGGAGATGAAACTTTATCTCGTACACATGTGCTTGAATAGCATAAGCGGTTTTCAAGGAGAAGAGACAAAATACGCATGTCAAAATCGAAATTCAATAATTGCCTTCTTCAACATTAATGGAATTGTAATGATTGAGTGGTTCCCCAGTGGTCAGACTGTTAATCAACAATACTACACTGAAGTACTAGACTTGGTGAAAAAATGAGAAGAAAAAAAGGCCACAGTTGTGGAGTCATTGACAGCTATTGCACCAGGACAATGCACCCGCTCACACGGCCCTATCTGTCAAGCAAAAACATTACTAGCAAAAAAAAAAAAAATTATC